TATTTCTCTTTAAAATACAAAAAGAATGGCTACTGTAACAATAAGGATTATTTTTGAATAATTTTTTTTGTAAAATGTACAAAAAATATGTAACAAAAATATGTAAAAATATATATAAATATAATATACCAAATCTTACATATAATATTTTCTTGTATATACTTTTTTTAATTTAATTTAAAATATTTTCTTCTATATAATTTATGAATAATATAACTTAGATTATACGAAAATGTATATGCAATAGAGCTATTTATGTATATTAATGCTCGGCCTACATCTCAGAAGAGTCCTCTGTATTTTATACGACTAATTGAAGATATAAACCATGTATGTTACTTATTATATATTTTAATATAACTGAAATATCTCTATATAGTCATTTGTATCCACATTTCCATATATATATATATTTAATATCCCCTTTTCCTGATAATATAAACCACATTCTCTATCTCTTCTCTGTCTCCTCTAGGCAATGCCACAAGGAGAGGAAAAGCACGCTTGTCCAATATCCTTTACTCAACTGCCCCAGACATGCCCAGCGCGATTTCCATTGTCTTGAGCATTTCGAGAGAGGAGAAACTCTTTCGCAGGCCTCATCTGGCTGCATTTGCGTGGATTAGAGGGCAACTTATGCCCGGGCAGGCCATGAAAATTCACAGCCAAGACCGTCTAGAATTTTACGGCTATCCATTTCTATTTGGGCTAATCCCAGGCCCAGCCTTGGCTAAAGGCAAACGCAAAAAAAATAAAAATAATAGTAAGGGAATTTCACTTAAATTTACGAAATACATTTAAGTGCATTTCTGACCAGTTGCAATTCAAATTTTCTTGCAGCTGCCGCCTCTATTCACCGACTTTTTGTGTGGCCGATGTGGAAGAAGCAGAACAGGAACATATATATAAAATAATTTTTGTCTTTGGAGCCCACTCACATGTTATGTGTAGGTAATCTCCTTTATTACTGCGGCAACTTTTTGTGTGTGTGTGTGTGTGTGTGTGCGACATAAAACAGGATTTCGGGGGCAGAGATTTTGTGGCGAGGTGGGCGTGGCAGTTAGAACTTTTGCATAACGCACTGCTACAGAGAGGCACAAACTGTGAGCATTACGTAAATGTTTATTTTGCCAAAACAGAGAGAGAGAGAGAGAGAGAGAGAGAGAGAGCGCGCTAAAGAGCGGGACAGAGACAGCGATAGTGAGAGAAAAGCCACAAGTCATAAAACAAAGTTTTGCGCCCCGAAAATTATATTGTAGATGTCCTAGTCTGATGTCCGTCTGTCTTTCTGTCTGTCTGTCTGTTGGCCTGTTTGCCTGGCCGGAGATGCGCTAATTGAAAATGACTTTTGGGCCATAAAATGTGCATTTGGCTAATGAAAATGCTACACAGCAGCAGCAGCAGGAGTAGCAGCAGCAGCAGGAGTAGCAGCAGCAGCAGCAGGAGCTGCCTAATTGGCACAATTGAAGCACTTGCCACAAGTAGCTGCCCGATTCATTCAACTAATTGAAGATAACTTGATGACCAAACCCAAGACCACAGCTCGAGACGTTACTCAAGTAGTGTCCGAGCTGGAAACCTTTTTAAATATGAAATCCGCATTGGAATTGCCCAAGCTCAAAATAAACTTAGTTTTTCCCTTTTGCCTTTTTTTCTGTTTTTCTGTTCCACTCTCTCGCTCTCTTTCTCGCTCTGTGCTTTCCACGTCGACATTTGTTTTTTATAGCCAAACGGGTGCGCCTCTAAAATTTTATGGTTTTTTCTTTAGCTTCTTTTTTCTTTGCTTTTTTTAATGAACATATAATTTTTGGACATTAGACAGACATGCTCTGAGGGTAGATTTTGGAAAAAATAGAGAAGTTCAGTTACGTAAAAAGGGGTACTGTTGCTCCGATATATATAGAGCATTTTTTTTTTTTTTAATATTTTTTTATATTATATGAACAACATGCTTAAGTAAAATTCAGTAAAAGCATCACATGAGTTGCTTAACAATAATAATGCTACATATATGTATGTTTTATAAGCATTATATATTATAATATATTAATGTTTTAAATATTAGTTTATTTTAAATTATTTTAAATATTATATCAAATATTTAAATATATTAAATATTATATTATATTAGATATATTCGAAATATTTGCATTATAAATTGAAGCTGCTTCTTAGTTAAAAACTCAATTAAAAGCAACATTTAGGAAATTTATATATAGACATTTTCTCCTTATGTACTTACATATAAAAACAGTAAAGCCTTACCCTTATTTAAATTATTATATAAATTATTATATTATTATATAAATTATTATTATATTAATATATAAATTATTGTATTCCTTTGTATATTTTAGACATCAAAGTTAATTTGGCATAGTATTTAGAATTTTAGCAATGAAATAATTTAAAGGTACATAAATTGCTAATCTAGTTAGGACTGCTTTGAAATTTTGAAGCAAAGCTTGTAAGTACCTTGGCTAAGAAAAATAATACGAATATTTACACCGACACCCATACAAAAACTTAAAGCATATCTGAAGTAAACATAATGAGAGTTTATATGATAAACTGCGCTTATAAAAAATATATATACATTTATGTATATATGTATTTATAAACTATATTTACTATAAACAGCACACTGGAC